GGCGGGCGGCGGGCCCCAAGTGCCGTGCCACGAGGCGATAATCTGCAGAATAAAAATCATTCTTCTGAATTTACGACGGCGGCATGCCGTCGCGCCGCCTGGAAATATTATGCATTTAATTTGCGCCGCGAGATCCCACAGAATATATAAACTCATCGTAAATGGTATTGAATTTACTGTTACTAAGCTATTTAACGCACAAGATCTCTATTTGCATTCAATAGGATTAATCCGAATGGAAAACATTCAAAACCAGTCAAAAATATTCCAGCAAATTGAGAAACATAATTCTGAACAATTTGTGCGCGTGCATTGTTATAACACATGCGGTAACAATTACAGCAAAGCGAACAAAACAAAGTTCTATATTTGAAAAAAAATATAACGCTAGGTGCATTTTCCATTCATCGCATCGAAAACAAAGGCCGCAGCTCGCCATTGTCTGTTTTTGCCCGGCGCCTCCACCATATGCACACACAACATCGCACATATGGGCACAATTTTATTTCCCTCAATTTCGCAGTCTAGTTGCAAAGTTCTCCGGCTAATGCAGTGCATTCATTCAATTCCGGCACACACAAACGTAAACGTTTTGCTCTTTTGACTCTTCAAACTTGTTTAAACATTTCCGCCAAAACGAATTTATCCCGCAGCTACGATAATTAAATATAAACCATTTTTAGGCGGATTTAAATAGCATAGAGAAGATCAATTTTCTTTCGAGTCCTCATTTTCGCACATCGATTAATATTCGTTTGGCCTAATGGAACTTGTAAGTTATTTATTACCTTTAATCGCTTCGCCAGGTTGCGGGGGCCCCGAACGTGCGCATCCGATTTCTTGCGTCCCTCTTCCACCGCCTGTAAGAGTGCTGACAAGCGCTCGGCGTCATTGCTCTAATAGATTTTAAATAATGCTTCCGGGCTCGCGCAGACCCTGACCAAGGTCCGAAAACGTTTCCGATCCCGATATTCTCAACGAACTATTTATTTACGGCCTCGGTCCGTGCTTGTCCTCATTAATACGTAACGTTATCCTGTGCGCCGGCTGCGTAATTAATCCTGTACTCTTATTAACCACGCCAGCAGCACTAACAAGTTAATTCAAATAAATGCAATTCAATTAAAGTTACAATCAATTTCGAAACAAAACAATTCGCCAATACAAAAGCAAAACTTAAAACTTTTTGTTTGTTCTAATCGCGTTTTTGTCTGAATGTGTATGCATTCAACGTAGGTGAGCAAGGGTAAGTGAAGCAGAGTATTTAAATGACAGCCAGAAGATATACGAGCACTAAAGTGGATGATTTATACCTGCCCGTGCGATTATCAATTTATGAACAAAAAAGTAACCGGAATCGAGGCGAATTGTTAGTGTACTTTATTACCGCCGTTCATAAATCACCGACGCATTACAGTCGCGTATTTCTTTTAATTTCCAGTACCAACTTTAACATTTTCACTATTCCATTCAGTACAACATTATATAAAATGTAATATGAGGGATTTTAGTTCGACGAATTACATTAAAATATCATCAATAAAATATTTTAATACGTAAATAATTAATGTGAATAAATTTCAAATATATTATATTTTTAATTAAATGTATTATTGTTGTACGTTGGCTTGTTATGAACATCATAAACATTTAGATCCTCTCGCGTTCCATGGCACAGTAGCGCGACCAGCATATTGATTTTCCTCCCCGTAATATAACATAAATACAATGAGCTATAAAGTGTGCGGGACGCGCGAGAATTTCCGTCCCGATCTATCATCCAGGAAAGCCGACTGGAAATCAGGGTGCAGGCTACGCAAATACACGCGTTCCAGATACGCGCATGCAAGGACGACACGAAATCACTTTACTTGCTATGAAACTATCACGTTTACTACTTTGCAAGATTGAAATTTTAAAAGTGTTCTTTTTGTAATTTTTGTACACTAAAAAAATGGAACCGGACTGTGTCCGCATGTCAATTAATGAAGATTGATTCATTAGTTTTTGGTGCATGCGAAATATTTAAACACTTTTGGGGCGCTTTGTTGGCGTAAAAAGAGCATAAAGCTTGTCGGCGCTGTCTGCGCTAGCAAAACGTCAATTACTAGATCCCTTTCGGCTGACGGCCGAGAGAGCGCATACATTTTTCGGCTTACGCCGAGATAAAGTTGTATTAACAACCAATATCCATGCGATGGCGATATGAGCACGCGCAATCTGCATTTTTATGTCGAAACATTTTACTTCTTGTAAAAGCGCGCGCCGCTTCGGCGTGCAATTTTATACTTTTACGTGCTCTCCGCACGTCGACGCCAAAGCGCTACAATTTGACTTTGTTCTCTTTTCTTCAACTTTTTTCGATTCACCACCAGCGAGGAAAAAATTATGACGTCAACACGCAAAAAAACGGCATTGCAAAAATTCTAGCCGAAAATAATGTGTGTTTGTTGGTGATAGAGGCATCGCTGATACCACGATTATTCAATTGGCTGTGTTAGAACCGGCCGGCGGGCAGTTAATCTCTAATCTAGTTGAGTATGACGTGTAGCCGGTCATAAATCGCGCCAGCAAAAAGGCACGACCGCGCGAAATCATTTCGCCGCCGCCACCGCCGTCGAAAACCAACCCCAAAATAGTGCCGCCCACCCCAAAAAACATCCGGAGCGTGCCGCACAGCATTAGAAATGAATCACGCCCGAAAGGGTACAAAACATCCCGACGGGCGCGCGCGCAGAGAAAGAATAAGCTGTTGAAGTCTATTGCCAGGCGCCTCCACCATCGCGACAAACTAATCCCCATTCTTTCTCTAATTTGCGCAAAGCCCCGTGCCGTCTCCGATGCATTAGTATATACTTTGGGTACATTAGACGCCCAAGCATGCTCGGCTGCGTTGCGTTGCTACACTAAGGGGTGAGTGGAGTGTAAGAGACCTTTCTTCAGTTATAAAGTCGAGTTTTGCATATAAAGCTGCTCGCGATTCAATTTCGAAAGAGTCGTGCGTATGCGCGAGTATATAACACTTGCCCTTGCTATGCAGAGGGAAAGCAGCGGGGTAGCGGCGGCGGCGGCGGCAGTGGCGGTAGCAGCGAGAAAGAGAATCATTTCGCACAATGGCGGTTAAGGAACACTTTATTATGTAACCGACCTGCTTTCGCAACGACGGCGGCGTACATTTGTTGTGTCGAAAGCGTTTATGAATGCGGAGGCAGTTTGACTTCAAGTACGCCGCCACCGCTGCCACCCTCGTCGTCAATGGAACAAAGTAAGCGCGGACGTGTGCGATGCGAAATTCGCTATAAACGTCCGTATTAATGAAAACATTTTGACACGTCTCACACACGCACATATCCAGATATATTTGTTAACGACATCAAACACTGACATCGAATTTTTCATGCGCAAAGAAAATCGTTAATTAGCAATCCGACAGCGGGGTGGTGATGCTGGTTTGCAAACGTTCGCAAACGTGATATCGCGTGTTGCAACAATCTAACATAACATCAAGCACAACTGTTGGCGTATATTATTTATAGAAGAAAGGCGGACGGCAGACTTCGATCATTTTTCACAGAAACGCTCCGCCAACTTGAGTTTGATTGCTTCCAGCCATATATCAATACAACGCGCAAAGATAGAAAATTCACGCGCACTACTTTTCCCCAACGATGAAGTAGACGTATGAGCGAAGGAAGAGGGAGGCGGTCGTAGCCGCCGCACTCATGGTATAACCAACATGTCGTGCGTCGCAACAAAAAAAAAACTCTTATTGCTTATTTCTATCTTTTCACATTTTGTCGTGCAATATAAAATATCAATTCTTTTTTGTTGCCTTTTCTTTCATTCTTCTTTAAAATTGCAGCAATTTTCAACAAGCTGAGCAATAAAATAATATACGCAGCACATACCAGAAATAATAGGTACCCTCAAGAGAAGGAGGATTTTGTGTCCTCATTATGATAGCTAATACGTTTCCGATATAACAAACCGCAGCGGCAGTAAATGGTGCGGTTTGGTATATGCGGTCGCAGACAATAATCCAACATAACGTTTGTATTCGTACCGGTCGGGATAACTAACATCCCGTGCATTACGTTCACGTTTCACCTTCGAGGATGAGCATACTGCGCTGGCATTAGCAACAAACTTGCACGTCAGCCAGCATAATCATCGCATGGGTGCCAGGCTGCCAGCAGTCGCATTTCTGCCTCTCAGCCTTCACACAAACACAGCAAATATATCCCTATGTATATACAGAGCAAGTGGATGTGGATGCGCCGCTGCCAAGTATTAAAATCTTGATACGCATCGCGCGTCCCACTCGCCGTCGTCCTTTTCTGGGACCATCGCAATAACTCTTCAGGCCGCCCAGCTGTCAGCTGCAGCCGCTGTTCCTCATTAAATTTAACAATGACGATTCGTCATTCTACCGCCGTTATTGTTATTACTATTACATATTGTTACAGCGGGGATGAAACGACCGCAGTTTTCAATCAATTGCTGCGCAACTATTTTCGCATCGAAATGATTTGTTTTTAATGTCACTACCATCGACTGTAATCGACACGTATTGATACACCTTCGAATAGTTTTGCTAAATATTTGCACAGTGTATCTATACTTAGACGTCAATCAATTTTGTATGGTGTTTTCCAATTACGCACTTGCATAAGTGAATATTACAGGAATACATTCTTTTAAAGCATATGTTTATAAATAAGTACGAATGTTATTGATAAGACAATAGCGTAATAAAATAACCTTCATACGAGTATGCACATTGTCGTTTATTTTTATCTCTACCTCTATTAATAACTGTAAATTGGCACGAACAAATCAAAAAACAGCTATCGTAAAAGAAAAAAAAAGGCGCATTTGTGTTTGTTTTGACGCCGTCCGACGTTGATTTATGCACTAATGGGTTATCAGTTATGTTGGGTATTACCAGTCTATAAAACGCAAGTACAACATGTTTAAAATTAGCCGTATCAATTTCGGTTTATATAAAAGACGGCAACACGACAGAATATTTTATTAGTGTCAAACACGTGAACCGAATTGAACCAGTAACACATCATGAAACTCTTAGTACTTATATCGGTTGTAGCGTTTGCTTCAGCGGTAGACTTCGAGATCTATAATAATTTACCAGGACCAATTTGGGTTGGCATTTTGGGTAATGGTGGTAAACCAGCTTTGGCAAACGGTGGATTTGCACTTGATCAATACCAATCAGTAAGAAATACATGTTTAAATTAGGAATATCGTTTGTTATATTTAAATATTTTATAGAGGACTGTTGGTAGTGATAACCAATGGGCCGGTCGCTTCTGGGCTCGTACTTGGTGTGACCCTAACACTAAACACTGTCAAACAGGTGACTGTGGTAACAAACTAGAATGTCAAGGTGCTGGTGGAGTACCACCAGTTTCTCTGGCTGAGATAACACTAAGAGGATGGCAGGGACAAGATTTCTATGACATTTCATTGGTTGATGGGTACAATGTCAAGGCATCTGTAAGTACCACAATTCTTACCTACTCAATATTCAATTTATGGTTTACTTTTTGACTTCTAGATTGAACCAATTAATGGTAGAGGAGACTGTAAGGCTGTCCGCTGCGCAACAGAAATCAACGACATTTGCCCCAACGAATTGAGGCAAAGTGGTGGTAACAATGGAGAATACACCGTAGCCTGTTTCAGTTCTTGTGCAAAATACAACACTGACCAATACTGCTGCAGAGGACAGTATGGTCAACCCGGCACGTGTAACACAAACGCATGGCCAGTAAATTCCGCAGCTGTCTTCAAGAGAGCTTGTCCAGATGCCTACAGCTACGCTTACGATGATGCTACCAGTACTTTTACTTGTGTAGCTGATAGATACAAGATCACATTCGGTTGATCGCTGATTTAATTAAAAACACTTGAAATAAATAAATATATAGAAAATGTGTCATCTCATTAAACTCAACCAACTTATTTGATTAATGAGCGGAGAATTCCGTGGCACACTTGTTTGTGTATTTATTGAAATAATTAAAACTTATCTAAAAGTGCTCTTCTTCAATTAAAAAACCGGAATAATCAATCGAAAATAAGCCACTTATTGGTATTAGCACGGCAAATAACACGTGTGTAAAACATGTCGAAAACATGATTTGATAAAAAGCAAGCCTATCAAACGGTTGAGATACTGACTATACTGACTATAAAAGCAGAGGTAATTGCTGTAGAAATCATCAGTTCCTCAACACCTGATTCCAACGACGATCAACAACAAACAACAATGAAATTCCTCATTCTTTTGGGAGCTATTGCCATGGCTTCGGCCGTTGACTTCGAGATCCAGAACAACCTTCCCGGAGCCATCTGGGTTGGTATTTTGGGAAATGGTGGTAAGGCTCCATTGGCCAATGGTGGCTTTGTTTTGGAAGCTTATGCCTCCGTAAGTATTTTATAAACCATTAAAATTATTATTTTCTTTACTAAATTTTCCAATTTTTGCAGAGGACTGTGAGCAGTGATGACCAATGGGCTGGCCGTTTCTGGGCCCGTACCTGGTGCGACCCCAACACCCAGCACTGCCAGACTGGTGACTGTGGAAACCGTCTCGAGTGCGCCGGAAACGGTGGTGCCCCACCAGTATCCCTCGCTGAAATCACCCTCCGTGGATGGCAGGGACAAGATTTCTACGACATCTCCTTGGTCGATGGTTACAACGTAAAGGCTTCGGTATGCACCACAAAACTTACCCCAACTAAAATAAATAACCAATTTTCTCCTATTATAGATTGAACCCATCAATGGTAACGGTGACTGCAAGGCTGTCCGTTGCGCTACTGAAATCAACGACATCTGCCCCGATGATTTGAAACAGGCTGGTGGTGACCATGGTGAATACACCGTTGCTTGCTTCAGCTCCTGCGCCAAATACAACACTGACGAATACTGCTGCCGTGGAAACTGGGGTCTTCCCACCACCTGCGACCCCAACACCTGGGCCGTCAACTCCGCCACTGTATTCAAACAGGCTTGCCCAGATGCGTACAGCTACGCTTACGATGACTTGACCAGCACCTTCACTTGCGTCTCCAACCATTACAAGGTTACTTTCGGTTAAACTGATTAGGATTACGATAAAACTTCACAATATGTTTACAATATTGTCTCTTAATTCAATAAAATGATTCATTCAAAATTAAATCTGTTTTTCAACACTTCAAAAACCACTCATCGTCGTAATACTACGATTATTATTCATGGTGATAAAAATAAATCAAAACAAACACTCACCTTACACTTTAGATTAGATTGTGAAATAATAAAGATAAAAATGATACCTGAAACAATAAAAAAAACATGCGTTAGTATCAGCTGATTATAATTTAGTATAATTTTTATAAAATTTTCACTCAAAACTTGATATACGATGGCAAATGGCAAAATTACTCTGCGGGCGCTGGAAGGTTTTAAGAAAAGTGATGAATTATTGCATTACGGGCCCACGATGGAAACTAGAATTTCGGTCATCAGTTTCACCCGGTACATTACACCGCCATCCGCTTGTACCATTCCCGCATTCAACCTGTTTCCGGGCCTTAAACTTTTTCATATGTCGCAACACACAGCCATTACTCGATTTTGACGTTCGAAAGTGGCGCAAACTTTTCCACTCCTACCAAAAACCCCACACCACACCTCCACTCGCCATTCTCGGCGTCGCTTGTCGAGCGAGAAAAAAATTAATTTAATTTCGCACAACTTTTACTCCGACGATTCCCAAACGCAAAGGTTTCCATAGCAGAATCGCGCGCCGGAGTTTTATTCGGGGATTACGTGCGCATAAAGAAAGTAAAATCGGAAACAGAAAACTCTCTTCGGATGTAAGTAAGAGAGTAAAATGAGCGCGTTTAAGGGTTCTTCGATGGGATTTGGAAACAAGATGGAAAAGATTTAGTGGGAAACTCATTTGCCTACGCCCGTCGAGCGAAGCCGCCGCCGCTGCCGCCTCCATCGAGGGAATAGTGAAGTAGATCGACGATACCGACGAGCTATTTAACCAGATCAGATCAGAGAGCGACGCCGAGTTCCTCGCGTGGCGCTGCGTCGTCCTTGGGACCGAGGATCCGACCTACATACACACACACGCCGCCCCCTCATCCCTATCTGCGCACTGTATCAACCCTTTTTATCGCCATCGGATTGGATTTTATTATAAGCGGACAATGCGAGGATTTGCGTTTTTATTATCGTGATTATTCAAACTGAAAGCATTCGATATAATAATATCACAAACAAATCAGTACGCTAGTTGCTACAATCGTTGGTATAAATGATAATGTTGAGACGGCAAGTGTCAACCGGTGATGAGCAGCAACCACTCCAGCTGCGCGGAATATATGCATATATTAGGAGGATGTCACCAATGTGCATTACTGCCAAGATTTATTTCCATGCGATGTGCCAACTAACCCGAAACTAAACAATAGCATCATGCACCAGACTATATTAAAGTGTCACGCCATTCACATTAGCATCCGCATTCACATTTAACCAATTCCAACTTCAAAACTTAACCCAGTTTTCCGATAAAATGTGTGAGGTTATGTGGTGTCAAGCGGGCAGACCACTTGCGGCCATAGATATTAGTTCACCGCAGCATAAAAAAAAGCGCACCAAAAAGGAGGAAAAACCAAACATTAGGAATTCAGGAAGGTGCGAAAAGTGTCTCTTGTATAATTTATTGGCACCCTATCAACTCGGCAAATGATAAAGAAGGGAAGCGGGGGCCTGGCAGGTGGCAGGTTGTTTGGCGTGCGCAATGCCGTTCTCGTCGTCCTAGCACCAAGTCCTTCCTCTCTGCGATGCGGTTGGCACGCCAGACACGAGCCTGCAGCGAGATTTATGTGACCGTTGGTTACTCCCGCTGTCTCCGCGGGTGCCGGCGCGCCGTTTTATCGCAGCGCCTGGTATTAAACAGCCAATACAATATCTCTTCGAGGCCTTGAGCTGCCCAGGAAGACGCGCACGCAGCTACGTCTTATCACCGCCAAACGCGCGAAGAGACTACCAACGTGGGTGACACGAACAATTTAACAATTCCACACATCGCGAGCAACATTACACAATAACCATGAAACGTCGACGGTGCTCCAAATGATCGATGCCTTCAAACAACACCCACGCACGCTCGAATGCTGCAGAAATCAGGGCAAGCGGAGAAGAAGCCGAGAGGTTAATAGATTGAAATACTGGCGTTTGGAGTTTGTGCAATCGTCGGGAGAAACTTGTTGAACGTGCTGAGGTCAGCGTCCGTCTCTAATAGTCATGGATAAAGTATAGTTTAAGAAAATACATTTTGATACCACCCTGAGTTCACTCGCTACGTATACAAATTCGACGATATCAAATATTATTATTCCTACACAGATCCCAAATCGTACTCGACATATTTCGAATACAGTGTTCTGTAACATCAGCATTCCGGTAGCGAACGCGAATGGCGTGCGAGGTAGCTGCCGCGCCGGCAACCAACAACACACAGCGCGCGTTCGTAACGTGCACGCGGTGGTATCAAGCACGTGCGGCGACAATAATTGCGATATCGTCGCGAATTTAATTTACTAATCCGCAACGTTTTCATTTGCGTATGCAAATAACTCGTCGCCGCCGACATCTTTATACTCTGCTCTGCCACATGCAAGAATAAGAATTATGAAAGCCGCATCGCAACAATGCACTGCGAAATTATGTCCTCAATTTTTCGTTTCGAGAGTAAACTTTAAGCAAAACTAAAAGTTATGTAAACGAATGTTCAGTGTAATCTAGATTTAGATCTAGCAGGCACATAAAATTGCGGCAGAGAATAATTTTAACAATTTCAACACGGTAAGGTATATTACTTGATTATCTTCGCAACCCTCCCGAAAGTCTCGAGTGTGTTTAATTACGCTAACTGTATTTATTAGCCATTTTAATTATAACCCCCAGCATAGACCTTTTCGTAATATTAACGTGTGTTTTCGTGTATGCAAATTTTTAGAATGTTATAATTTATAATCAAGTGGCAGCGGTGATAAATTAATGCGTCGCAATCAGCGTAACGAGCACCAATCTCGGGGCGGTGGGCATTTGTGTTACAAATTCGCCGACATTGGTTGTCAGTAATCTACACTTGCACTTGCACACACAACGAATGCCATGGCGGCCATGCTTGTGAGTTATGACGCTCGAGGTTGTCACAGAGAGCGCGCCGGCGTCGAACATCACTGTCATTCGCTAATTGACTCTCAGATCTCGGCCCGTGATTAAATGCATTACCATACTCTGGATGCGAGGAAGGCCATTAACATAAATGGACCATCAAGTGCGAATATTAACAAAGCGATGTCTCCGCGCGTTTATCAAGATGATGATCATTTCGGATGACCTAGTTATAGAGTTTTTGAATCCCGGCTACAACCTTCGAAATTGTTAAATTGTTCAGCAGAAAAACAATAAATTGAAATTAAATCCACGTATTTTATATATATTGCGTGCGTTTAGGTTATGTTTGGTTAGGTGGTGTTTGTCGGAAAGATTTTTGTATCTTCCAAGCGATTTACAACATTAATAGACCCTTCGGGCCCAACGTGCGGCGGTTTTGGTAAGGCCCAGCCGCGGCAGCGAATGTGTTTCCCTGATTTATTTTCGAAATTTAATTACGCGTGCGTTCCATGTACCATGTGCTCCCCCAAAACGTTTCGTTTCATCGTTTCCGCATAATGTCTTCTACCTTCATTACACATTACATCAACTTGGGTTAAAATCCAAAATTTTCACTTTTAAACATTCTATTAATTAAACCCGAATTGGGTATATATTACGTTGTGTTTATTAAAAACACAAGATGTAGTTGTACGGCGGCCATCTTTGATTTGCTTGAATCCCCCAGTAGGTGTAACCCCACCGCAGCATTCATAAATTGTCAGCCATTAATTTCGTTGTTTGATGTGTTCACTTGTATTACGGTCTTGTTCTAATTATCTCGGTTAAGGATAAGGACGCCGGCGGGAGGAAGAGGCAGCAGGCGAGTAGGACAAATAATAGCGCGCGCGCACAGCAGTAATACGTAAGATAAGGCCAGTTTAACACACGGGTTTTCGGTCGCCTCATTGAGCTTATACGTGCCCTGGGACAATTTGCTCCGGTTGTCGAGCTCCCTCGGGATTAAGGTGTAAAACTATGTTACCCATTATACGCGCCGCCGCCGTCGACGACGACGACGGCTACCCGCGTGTCCGACACTCTTTCATTCCATTGCATTATTTCGCCAGCAATGTCCTCTGTCGACTGTATATTACTATTTCATTCCATGCCTCGGAATAGTAATGTTTGCTTCCACTACATTATTCACGATCGTGTATAATGAATCAGAGCGCTTATTTTTGTAATAAACGTTTAGTACCTTTGTCAAAAGTGTAAATTTATTGTAAAAGTAATGGAGAAACTTTTCTTAATAGATATTTTTCGGCGGTGGCGGATTACAAATTCGGCGAGTTAATCATAACTGGTCCGGTCCTCGAAAGGTTGCGCAAATTTGGCCGCTCAAAAATACTCGCAGTGAAAAAGCGTCCTTTTTCGTGTTCGCTCGGTCGCTTCGGGGCGTTTTTAGGGAAATAAATATGAAGCCCGTCATATTTCATGCAGGCCCCCACGAACAACTACTTCCAACCAAAACCATTCCGACTTAATATTCCATTCGTGATCGCGCACAGCCGCAACGCAACGCTGCAGCGAAACACAGGAGGCCATAGTGGCATGCGCTGCTTGCTCCTAGTCTTTTTGTGTTTTTGTCACTAACATATTCCGCAAGTGTGCTTTTTTCTCTTAGAATATTCGAACGTGTGCATCAACCCGTTCCCTGTCCACACGACACACCTTAACAGCATTCCAAATCTTTGCGTCTTCATGACGCGCCTGCTAAAAAGTTACAACCGACGCAAAATTTTCGACAAATTGCGTGCGACGGCGTTAGTTTTTTGCAGATTTTCATTTCGAGCAAGCAAACAAACGCGCTAAACGCTTGCGCAAATAAATTTTAAAACGAATGAAGGCAGCTGAATGAGCGAAATGTAAATAGTCGGATGGCGGCGGATGGTGGCGGCGGAGGTGACGCGTCGCGACGGGGAAATTGAGTGTCGTGATAAAGTTGTCTAGGCGTC